TCTTAGATCTAAACATTGATATTTAACTATCTAAGAAGATATTAAATCATGGTCTCTTCAATCTTCATTTTGTCGAACCATCATTAGATGTATCATGGAAATATCACACCCATTAGGAAATTTAAGTAATTAAATTAATTATAGGGGTCATTTGACCACTTTGCCCTTTATTTCTCCTAAAACTTTTAGAAAGTTGTTCAGACAATTATTATAACAAGGGTAAGTTGGGAAAACAAAAATTTTATGCTTTCTTAATTTTTTTAAATGATACTTATTTTGAACTATTTCTGAAAGGCTAAATGGACTCTCAAAATGGACCTGAGGGCGTATACATTTATCTCGTTTAATTTAGTAACATAAAGAAATAATTACGTTAACCCACGCCAAATTAATTCACGATAATTCAAACATTCTTGAACAATAGCAATAACATATGTATTGTGAGAATTCATCATAAAACTGGTTAGTTTTATGCTAGTTATCAGCCAACCGCAAATCCTCCTCTTTTATTCGGGCTTGAGACCGATAATGTGAGTAAGCTCATACAGAATGATGGAGTTAATTCAGACATACTCTCATTTGGATATATTAACTTAGTTTTAAAAGATTATGAAATGTTCATTTTAGAAAACATATTCTCCATATTTTCTTCAATAGACACTTATAGATAAGATTGCTGATACACTGGGTTTCATTTTTGGTGTCTAAACTTAATAGGCAAAGAACTTAAAAAAAAAAAAAAGACTGTAATTGCACTATGTGTTTATACCAAGCCACATTAACTTATTCTAGTTAATTAAGTGATACATATTAATCAACATGATGTAATGGTAAGCGTGTACAAGAACAACATATTTCCATGTATTGAACAGTTCAGTGTAAAAACCATATGTGGTTAACTTCTTTTCCTACTGCCCCTTTAGGTAGGATGCGTTATACATATATACTTCATTAGGTCTTTGTACAAGATTAACAATTAAAATATATTTGTCATAACAGATCCATTTGGATATAAATGATATGCAATAATGCAGTACAAAATAATATAAGTTGACATATATGTCTTGTAATATTTTTTTTAAAGAACACCTTGGTTCACATAATTTACTACGAATCACAAATATAGAAAGAAAAAAAAAAGTTTTCAAACTTTTTACATCCATCAACTGATCAATATTTATCATATTCTAACTACCATATTGTACAATAATTTCACAACATTCAAAATTATGAATACTTTACAGAATTCAACATTCAGCGTACAAATATTGAGAGTGCAAATTTTGTAAATAGTGTAAGGGAAAGCATAGCATACCATAATGATTTGGAGATACGAAACTAAGATTTGTCGAATTTCATCCCAACAACATGCACGAATTTCGAAGTACGAATTTTTCTAGTTCTCAAAAAGATATTTAAACGGATATTTAAAAAAAAAAAAAAGGATATGACTCAAGGTATTTTCTTTTTTGCTAAGAACAAGCATTTTTTATTGAACAAAACATAAACGAGGACATTACAACAAGGGCACTGAACGTGGTGTTACAGTTTCCATTGAGTCCAAAAGTAAGTGCAGTAAGATAATGGGTGGGGGTATCACTACAAAAAAACGGGTAAATTACGGAGGTTAAAATTGCAGTTTGCGGAGGGTAGTAACCTCCGCTATTTGCTGTCACGGCGGTCGAGCAAGCCCCCGCAGTGTGCATCGCCGCTATTAATTTGCGGCAGACAAATGCGGGGGTTTCCTGAACCGCCGTGATAGCAAATAGCGGGGGTTCCTACCCTCCACAAACTGCAATTTTAACCTCCGCAATTTCATGAGCGAAAATAGATTTTATTTTTAAAATTTAATTATTGTTTTTGAGCGTAGGGGTTGTGAACCCCCGCAATCTGTAATTTCTTTTTGGGGGTTATATCTCCATCTATTTTTAAATATATTATAGAATTGATTTTTATCATTAATTTGCCATATTTTTCCTCTAATATCAATTAAAATATTTATGCTCAAACCAAAATATTAAAATTAAGAAACATCAACATTTCATTAACCGTGAAAAATACTATTACACAGTAGTATCATATGTCTTCAAACTAAATTAGAACATAGTTAACCATCTATATCAGTGATCAGCTATTACATTGTCCTAATACATCCACTTCAATTAAAATGAAACTCAATGGTTGTCACTGGGATTACTTCCGCCAGAAGATCTTCTTGCATCCGTCGGTGAAACGGGTCCACTAGCTGCATCACTTGGCTGCAGCAAAAAGTAAAAAAAAAATATAACTATTAAGAGTATCAGGAAACAAGTCATTGGGATAAAATAAAATTATCTCAATGAGAAATAAAATACACTTTGCCACTTGGAGATATTACTTGAAGTTTCATTGAGTCTTCTTGTGTCAAAGACATTACTTATGAGAAATTTGTCATAGATCATACTGTGGAATTCTATTTTAGGATTCTATCATGTAACTACTCTATATTAAGATTCTATACAAGTTCTTTCTACTAGTGAAAGCTAACTCAAAGAGTTTAAGTTTTTTTCCAAATACAAACAGATAAAAAAAACTTGGTATTATTCAAATCTCAGAAGTTTTCAGATTGTTCCAAAAGAACAAAAGTAAGAATAAGTGTATAGCCAAACAACAAACAAAAACACAAACATTTGAATCTTAAAAACACAAAGAAAAAACAAAGAACCTAAGACTTATTTTAAACTTGTGAAGGTTTTGTTGGCTTTGTATCACAGCTAAGATTTCTGACGAGGAGAGATTAGCAGCTGCTAGCTGGAGAAAAGTTTGTGTGATTTAAAAAGAAAACACCAAAAAAAGACCATGAAAGCAAAAGATCTGACATGTTTAGAGTAGTATTCATAACACAAGTCAGATTTGGTCCCTAAGAGGAAAATTCAAGTTACATTTACATTTCTACATTGTAATATTCTTGCCATTTCTACATGTCAAATTTAAAACGTGAAGGAATGAGTACATGATTAAATTGGAAAGGATTCTATGCAGCAATCTGATTACATATTCATTGTGGTTCTCCAACTTGTTAGGTGGAAAAGGATAGACAAATTGTTGATTTTTCACAGTGACTATGGATTCCCAAAACTTCAAAGTCGCACCAGTTATCATAGTGACTCTTAGCACTTCACAAATGAAAAATAAAATTGCACAATACACCAAAAATAAAAGAACTAAGCATTTACCGTTGTAGGAGAAGAAGCAAAGATCCCAGCAAATTGTTCTGGTATTGAACCTTCCTTCATTATCATATATTCTTTGAGAGTACTCATCAATTGATTGTACTTCTCTTGGCATCCAGAAGAAGAACATCCAACATTATTACTCACAATTCTAATATTACCAAGACGAAGATTTGTCTCTTTGAAAGTATTGCTTGGAGTAGCTCCTAATCCCAAACATCTCACCCTTCCAGGATGCTCTTTGCCTAGCACCTTACCAACAACATCATTTGGAGAAATTTCAGACTCATCCACCGTACTTTCACTCACGGCTAGCTCAATTTTTTCCTAAACACAATACACATCAAAAAAATCTGAGCCTACTGTTCTTTGTGCAAGAACACCAGTTATAGCCAGGGAAGTAATTGAGTGTGGGAAAATGACAGGAAACAGACCAAGAAAAAAGAAGAGGACGGGAAACAGACCAAGAAAAACATACTAGTATTTAACTAAGAACAAAACAAAATGGAAGGACTTCATTTTGTAAACTATCTGCTACTCTAGCAAGAATATTTATGTCATGTGCTAATGGTGTATTCTCTGCATCATATTAATCACAGATAGAATGACTTTAAGGATGAAATAACCGACTAACAAGATATCCCCAAACAATATGGAAACGGAATTTAACAGCAACTAAGAAAAATACATAGTGTGTATTGTGTAACTCGTACAAGCTATCAGTCACACGATTGTCTTCATCTAAGTTATTTCAGCCTCAGTTGTTGCATTCATGGTCCCTCTGAAAAGGGACAAACTAAGCTCTTAACATAGATTACTGCCTCTAGAAATGGAGCAAAGTTAGTAATATCTAGAAATCTGATCGAATCATCCTTTGGACTGGAATTCATAAAACGTGGTCCAAACTTGAGCAAAATTTAACCTTCATTTGACATTAAAATAGGTCGACAAAATATCTTTCCCATGGAATCAACAGGAGACTTGACGATAAACATATTTGTCCAAATGGGTCTTAATAGATTCAGGGCCTACTGATGATGGATATAGTTGGAGAAAGTATGGACAAAAAGACATTCTTGGTTATTGTAACTTACACATATTTCTTTTGCCTCCTCATTTACATATGATCCATCTTTTTTTCGTATGTGTAGCAAGATAAAGTTGTGCTCGTCCAGGCTTACTTCCTGTCTCAGCCATCTATGCATGAAAACAAAAATAAGTCAGAATAGTTTAATTAAAGTAAAAGAAATAGATACAATATCTAAAATTTAAATAGTAAAGTAAGGTAAATAATGTGACATCTTTCACCATTTCAGCCCTTCTTCTAGAATTAAGTTTGGAGCCACCGGTGTGTGGAACTGTTTGCTTCTTCCGATTTTCAGCATTTCTTTTACACATGTTCTAACAATAAGATACATTTCAGTCAATTATATAAATAAATACTCATATTTATATGCATTTCAATGTGACGTTTCAGAAAAATACATGAGTTTCTTCTTTACAACGGTAGTTCACAAAGATAGTCCATTGATCCCGACTAATACCTATCGGAACATTATCCATAATCTCATCTTTGGTTTTAAGTGGGTCTTTAAACTCATCCCACAACTTCTGCCTACTTGAAGCCCACTTCTTTGAAATAGAGTTACAAACATATCCTCGTGCAACTTCCTCAATGGTCATAAAACAGAAATGAGACTTCAAAACAAAATTTTGGTTAGTTTATCTTTTATATACAAATATAAAAACAAAAGACAAAATAGAGATATAGTTATAAAGATCTAGAACTTATACCTTTATAATGTTATTAAAGCAGTCGTTAAAGTATGACTTAGGCATATCCGGCCATTTATCAAAACCAATTGGAAATATGGTACAGTCAGTTGCTAAAAGGCCACATACGCCTGCTAGAAGGCCTTGTGCTTCGCCAATCGGATCCTTGCCATCAAACTCCACCACAACACGTTCTCCTTGAGGTAAACTTAATGCTTCTCTAGTCTTCAATTTCAGCCTTTTGGTATTTCCATGTGAATCTTTAATAAATAAAAATAAAATCAAAAAAGTAAAGGTAAGAGCCTTTTGGTATATATATATATGGTGTAGCTCCAGATACAACTCTAATTGCATATATATAATCAACAAGTATAAGGAGATGAAGGCAGCATCTTCAAGTTCAAATATAAACAACTTGATTGAAGACCTAGAAGAACTCCACATTCTCCATATCATTTAGAAAGATTACCAGATAGGAAACATACAAGAAACATGAAGTAACCAAGTCCTAGCTTGAATCTAGCAAATAGTAACAGCCACACATAGTAGCAGATAGGTGAAGCAGCAACAGACGTACAAAAGTCCTATAGAAGATGCATTGGACAAGTGCAAATAGATCCACTCACACCCCATGGGCAAATAAATTCCCACAATTAGACTCTAAAGTCCTACACAACAACAGAAGGGTAATGATTACCTATTTCATCGACAGTCCAATGATGTGAAGACTCACGTTTAGGACGCTTATTGGATGTTGCTTGTGTTGGTGTGGGATTAATTGGAGGTTGAAATGAAGGAGTTGTCTGTGTTGTGGCCTGAAATGAAAGAGTTGTCTGTCCCGTGGCCTGAAATGAAGGAGTTGGCAGTGTTGTGGCTAAAATGAAGTGGTTTGCTGTCTTGTAGGTTGAAATGAAGGAGTCGGTAGTGATGTCGCCTGAAAAGAAGGAGTCGGCTGAATGCAAGGAGTTGTTTGCCCCATGGCTTGAAATGAAAGAGCTTGCTGTCTTGGCTGTGTTGTGGCCTGAAATGAAGCGGTTTGCTGTCTTGTGGCTTGAAATGAAGGAGATGGTAGTGATGTTGCCTGACACGAAGGAGTTGGATGTGATGTAGTCGGGAATGAAGGAGCCAATAGTGATGTCATATCTGGTGCCGCATCAGTAGATTTTGAAGAAGAAGCTGATTGAACTGACTTTTGTAAGTTCTTAAAACGTTTAGTCTTCGGCATATCTGCAATCAACAAAAAAATTAATAAGTAATAGAAAGTATAAAATACAAATACAAAATAAAGTACATATATATAAAAGAAAAATAAATAAACATACAAGGATACAAGAAAATTTACATGCCTATTCAGACATATGCTCATCTATTGCAATTGGGATATTCTCATAAGCATCATCAAAAATTTGTTCAAGTTCTTGTTGCTGGTATGGTTGATTCTCATATATTTCATTTTCATCGACCTCTCCCATATCAAATAAATCTCTCGGCTTTAAATGTACAGCCACACTCCATTCTTTATCCGTTTCATCATCAACATAGTAAACCATATTTGCTTGAGATGCTTCAATGTAAGGATCATCATCCTCACGATCACCAATATGAATCAATCTAGAAAAATTGACACAATTAAAATTCCAAGCATCTCTTTTGAACCCTCTATCTCGAGTAGTGTCGGCCCACTGGCATTTAAAGAGCACAACTGTGAATCGATAATAATTAAGCTCAATAATATCTTCTAACTTCCCATAGTATGGCAAGTCTGCTTGCCTTGCACTTCTATCAGCACTAGATGCAACACAAGAAGTGTCAGAAGTAAGAAAAACTCCACTATTTTGAGTTTTTAATCCTTGATCTCTAGACAAAACTCGAAATTTGAATCCATTGATGTTATAAGCAGTGAACCTTCTAGCATTTGGCGCTGGACCTCGTGCTAGGTACTTCAGATCAGTAGAGATGGTGTCTGCAATCTCTGGGTAACAAACTTATTTTAGTCAAGCATATTAAATCCAATGAGAAAAGCTATGTGAAGCAAAAATTATTATACCATTCACTCACCCGTTTTGGGAACCAATCAGGAAATTCTCTATTAACCCTCCTCTCCAAATCTGATGCTGAAGGTCTCCGTCCTCTTGTGCTCTTTCTTATGTAATCCCTAAACTCACTTCATATAAGCTAACTATATCAATTTTAATTATTTTAATTCTAAACTTTTGCCAATATTCATATCAATTTTATTTACTTACTCAATAAATGGCTTCACTGCCGCATAATTAAATAACACATATCGATGAGCTTGCGTCTTCACCAATGGAGTCAAGGGGAATGTTGAGGAGCCTCCAACTGGTTTACCTTGCGGAGGGAAGATAGAGGACATTTCAGAAGCCTCATTAAGATTTGGTTCATCATTCACACGTCTAGGCCTATTAAGCCTTGACTCAATCCCCTCAAAGTAACGAGAACAAAAGTTANTGGTGTGGGATTAATTGGAGGTTGAAATGAAGGAGTTGTCTGTGTTGTGGCCTGAAATGAAGGAGTTGTCTGTCCCGTGCCCTGAAATGAAGGAGTTGGCAGTGTTGTGGCTTGAAATGAAGTGGTTTGCTGTCTTGTAGGTTGAAATGAAGGAGTTGGTAGTGATGTCGCCTGAAAAGAAGGAGTCGGCTGAATGCAAGGAGTTGTTTGCCCCATGGCTTGAAATGAAAGAGCTTGCTGTCTTGGCTGTGTTGTGGCCTGAAATGAAGCGGTTTGCTGTCTTGTGGCTTGAAATGAAGGAGATGGTAGTGATGTTGCCTGACACGAAGGAGTTGGATGTGATGTAGTCGGGAATGAAGGAGCCAATAGTGATGTCATATCTGGTGCCGCATCAGTAGATTTTGAAGAAGACGCTGATTGAACTGACTTTTGTAAGTTCTTAAAACGTTCGGTCTTCGGCATATCTGCAATCAACAAAAAAATTAATAAGTAATGGAAAGTATAAAATACAAATACAAAATAAAGTACATATATATAAAAGAAAAATAAATAAACATACAAGGATACAAGCAAATTTACATGCCTATTCAGACATATGCTCATCTATTGCAATTGGGATATTCTCATAAGCATCATCAAAAATTTGTTCAAGTTCTTGTTGCTGGTATGGTTGATTCTCATATATTTCATTTTCATCGACCTCTCCCATATCAAATAAATCTCTCGGCTTTAAATGTACAACCACACTCCATTCTTTATCCGTTTCATCATCAACATAGTAAACCATATTTGCTTGAGATGCTTCAATGTAAGGATCATCATCCTCACGATCACCAATATGAATCAATCTAGAAAAATTGACACAATTAAAATTCCAAGCATCTCTTTTGAACCCTCTATCCCGAGTAGTGTCGGCCCACTGGCATTTAAAGAGCACAACTGTGAATCGATTAATAATTAAGCTCAATAATATCTTCTAACTTCCCATAGTATGGCAAGTCTGCTTGCCTTGCACTTCTATCAGCACTAGATGCAACACAAGAAGTGTCAGAAGTAAGAAAAACTCCACTATTTTGAGTTTTTAATCCTTGATCTCTAGACAAAACTCGAAATTTGAATCCATTGATGTTATAAGCAGTGAACCTTCTAGCATTTGGCACTAAGGATACATAGCCAATTGGGATTGAGGCGCAGTAGTAATTGTTATTCTTTTACATTGGATGATTTTCTTAAATTTAACTTTTCTAAATCAGCTAATATGCACTTACTATTGTCTCGACTAACTTATCCTAAGTTCTTCGGTTTCCAATTAAATATATTCTACTCTTACCTTTTTCTTTAAGTATGCACACAAAAAGCCTGATTTCAGAAAAAGTATTAATCAGTATAATTGGAACCATCCTAGACTACAAAATAGATATCTTAAATGAGAACTCACATTTTTTCATACATTTTCAAATTTCATATCGTAGCTCTCTTATTTTTCTAAATAGAAAAATCTGATATAAAGAAAATAGAATAAACAAAAAAGCTATATTGTAAAACAAGATTATCACAACAGAGAAAAAAAGAGAGAATAATTCATATTGAGTCAAAGAAGACAGGCAGTGGTAATGGGGTAATGGAGAACTACCAAAAGCACAAATGAGTGAGCATTTCTTTATCAGGCTATGCTTGCAGCATAGGGATTACGTATTTTATTAATCTATATATGTTTTAGTAAGTATTTATGCTTTCAGTACACTAGTTTGTTTTCCATTATTAAAACTCTTGTAAACTCACTTTTGTAACCAATGGTTTAGATTGGTGAAACTAAACTCTAAACAATTTTATTTGGCAAAACCAACTGTGAGGACATGAGAATAAGAATTTGGGTATTTTTGGTTTTGACACATATTGGTTATAGACTCTTAACTCATTATTATATGAAAGAAAACAATGTGAGACTAGATTGATCTCCACACATTTGGTGGAGACTCAACTCCACTGATCAGTATATATACAAGGCAGCAGAAAGTATTGGATTTCTGTTTAATTGCATCTACTGTTAAGAGGGGGAAAAAAAAACTTCAACTTTTCAATCTATAAAAAGCAACTCAAACGTCTATTCATTTAATTTTTCCAAGAAGATACTGCTCAAATAGTACTCCTAATCTACAAAAGATTGGATGCCTTCATATACAACTGATATTTCACGTATAAATTAGAAATCAAGGAAAAAACACACAAAAAATCATACAGATCGACCATTTAATACACACAAAAATTCAATATCAAACACTATTTAATCACACAGATCGACCAAAATATACACAAAAATTCAAAATTAACAGAAAACCCATGAGGGAAAATAAGGAAAGAAAGAGAAAAATCAAACCTGGGAGGTGTAAAAGTGGTGGCGATTGAAGCGGAGAACTTCGATTGAAACAGACCTTTGATTGAAGCGGAGAACTTCAAAAAAGAAGCAGAGAACTTCGATTAATGGAGGTATAAAACTATTGAGCAGAGGACTTCGACTAATTAGCACGGTGACGGAACTTCGATTAAGAAGAAGAAGGAAAGGAGTATTTTGTTTGGGGAAAAAATGGAGTTTTTGGCGTATTTGGCCAATTAAGAGTGTGAGGTGGAAATTTCTAGGGGGGAAAATTGGAGGGAGTGTTAAATAAAATACCCGCTATTACTTTTAGGGTTGCGGATGTTTTTGACCTCCGTAAATTGTATAATTTTGTGGGGGCTAATGTTCTGTCGCAAAATTATACAAATTGCGGAGGTTACTTATACCCTCCGCAAATAAACCTCCGCAATTTACCCGTTTTTTTGTAGTGTATTACCAAAACATAACATCAAAAGTGTCCACAAAAGGTAGCCCTTACCCAAAACAAGCCAAAGCATCTGCTACAGCATTTCCCTCCCTAAATATGTGCTGGATTGGTGACATCTGAAGGTCAGTCATCGACCTGCAATCAGAAAAAATGTGTGAGTACTTAAGATTACCATGTGGTAGGAAGGCGATAAGTACTTGAGAGTCTGTCTCCACCATAAGCGGAGTTAAGCCATGAGAGAGAGCAATGCGTAATCCATAGTAAAGAGCAAGCAATGCAGCTAGCGTAGAGAACAGTGGCGTTGCACAGCGGTTTACAGTAGCCACCTATCCAATCTCCATTGGAGTTTCTAAAAACACCGCTCCGATGGTGTGATGGAATGCGCCATCAATATTAAGCTTATACACTCCCTGTGGAGGGGGATGCCAAGTAATAGTTATGGTGGTGCGTGAGCATGGTGTAGTGGTTGGTGAGGTGAGGTAGTGAGTAACTAGGGTGTAGATGGTTTTAGAAGAGATAGGGGTAGCTGAGTGATTGAAAATATTATGGTTGCGATTGAGGCATATGTGCCATAAGATAACCGGGACAAGATGTGATAAAGGGATAGGGATAGAAGGGTTAGCATTAGGGTCCAAAGGAGTTGAATCATTATTGGTGCAAAGATGATGTAACCATGTGATATAGTTGGAGGAGGGAATAGCAATGTTAAAATGGTTCCAAATGTGGGTGGTAGGGGGCAGGATGTAAAAATGTGAAGAATATTCTCTGGATGGGCACAAATTGGACAAGTGGCATGTGATAGGATTTGGCGAAATGATAATAACTCTTGTAGGTGCTAAGGCATTCTGGAGAAGAAGCCAGATGAAGTGTTTGATCTTGTTTAGTTGGTGTTTTCCATGACCAGTAGTGAGGAAAAGGTGTAGGGGGTTGA